GCCCGACGGAGGTTGAAGGAGCGGGGAAGAAGAATCGGGTGTGAAGACCTTCTGGCCTGACGGCATCTCCCTGGTGGCCGGTGGCCAGCCGCGGTCCGCCGGTCCGCCGTCACCCAGGGTTGTGACTGAGGGCGGTCTCCGTCCCCAGGGCCAAGCCAGGAGGAAGACGGGTAACCACAACCCCAGACAAGATGCTTCACACACATGCTTTGAAAGTCAGCAGCGGGGAAGCGTAAGGGCATTTCGGGGTCCCCGAGGGACAAGTTCTGTGCTTGGCTGATCTCAGGCAGACAGAGAGCAGGGGAGATGGTGGAGGCTGGAGGGCAGGTGGGGGAATGGGCGGGGTGTCCCAACTGCTCTGCAGGAGGAGGGGGTAGGGAGAGCCGGTGCGGGCCGGGAATACAGGAGCCGGAATCCATCAACACAGGCCCCATGCCATGACAGGCTCTCTGCAGTGGGCCAGGAGCTTTACTGTGTTATCGCTATTTTATTCGGTTTTAGGTTTTTGCCATGGGGCATGTGCTCGCAGAGAGAGACGGAGAAAAGGAAAGTGAGAAATCCCCCCTAGCGGGACGGCCACACCGCAATCCCTTCTCCACCATTCTCCTCTGAGAATTTTGGGCAAGCACACACATGTGCCCAGTGTGAGTTTAAGCCACCAGTTCTAGGACTTGAACTGCAGTGAGTCACAGGGGAGTCCAGTGCCTTAACCGCCATGTCACCCCCCTAGCGGGACGGCCACACCGCAATCCCTTCTCCACCATTCTCCTCTGAGAATTTTGGGCAAGCACACACATGTGCCCAGTGTGAGTTTAAGCCACCAGTTCTAGGACTTGAACTGCAGTGAGTCACAGGGGAGTCCAGTGCCTTAACCGCCATGTCACCTGCTGGCCCACTGTATTAGTATCATTTTTTCTTTTTTAGAGAATTTTTTTGCTATAGGGCACGTGTACTCGCTGGAGAGGGAGAAACAGAAAGCAAGAAATCACCCCCGGGGCATGGCCACACCACAGTCCCTTCTCCTCCATTCTCCTCTTGGGATTTTGGGCATGCACACACATGTGCCCAGTGTGAGTTTCAAGCTGCCAGGTCTGGGACTCGAACCACAGTGGACTATGTGGGAGTCCAGCAATGCCACCATAACTGCATCTGCTGGTCCCAGCCCACTGTATAATTTATAACCGAATCATGCCAAGAGCCCTGGGAGGTGAGTACGTGGACCCCCCTTTCTCAGGTGGGAAGACTGAATGGGTCCACCGAGCTCGTCCAAGGACAGAGCTGGTGAGTGGGAAGCCTGCCCTCTGCGGCCGCGTGCAGTCAGCCAGGGTGAGAACGAAGATGGAGACAGGACAAGTGTGAGGAGGGCGGAGACAAGGGTGAAGACAGATGGGAGCCAGGAAGGGCTAAGAGAGGCCAATCACACATCAACCAACACTTCAGACCCCTCCAGTCCCTGCCATAAATAAACCCTGGGTCTGCAAGCTCGGCAGGTCGCGCTGCAGAAACTGGAACAGATGAGACAGAGCGTGAGCTTGGGAGGAGTGGGGTCAGTGCAGCCTGGGCTTGGCGGCGAGGAGGGAGGAGAGCCCAGCACGGTGTCCCTGTCCGCTGTCCTTCCTCAGCAGAGGGCACAGCCTGAGCCAGCGATGGGGCAGGACTGGAGCGGCCGGTGCGGTCCAACTGGGTTAGCTGGGGTACTCTGCACCCCCGTGGGAGGGCTGGTCCCAGGGCGGCCAGGGGCACGTCACCCTCTGGTCATGTCCTGCCCTGCCTCTCCTTCTCATCTGCCACCCCCCGTTTCCTGCCGTGTGTCCGGCTGGTGCTGAGCTCAGCTGGCCTGGCAGGTCCTTCCCACCTCACACGGCTCAGGCCTTCCCTCTTCAGAGTGGCTTCCCGCACCCCAGGTCTAGGTTAGGGGGTTCCCTGGTCTCCTCACAACCTGCTTGCAGTCCCTGTTCTGGGGTGCCCACAAGGGTTTGGTGACTGGCATGTGCCACCTCTGGTGTGGGAGTGAATGCTGGCCTCCCCCACCGATGGGCGTCCTACGTCTGACACGTGACTCGCTCATTTGGAGGGCTCCTGCCTTACACCGTGCCTGTGCGTGCTGTCCCCATGCTGTGCGGTCCCTGGGACGGACGTGTGTGGCACACCCGGGACGGGCGTGCGCGTGGTGCCCCACAGTATGGTACCCGGGATGGGCATGCGTGTGGTGTCCCCACAGTGTGGTACCCGGGACGGGCATACGTGTGGTGTCCCCACAGTGTGGTACCTGGGCCAGGCATGTGCGTGGTCCCCACACCGTGTGGTACCCGGGACGGGTGTGCGTGTGGTGTCCCCACACCGTGTGGTACCCGGGATGGGCACTGGAGTGGGAATTAGACATGGGACTGCCTTTGCTGGGTCCTGCCTGAGCAGACACTGTCATCACACTTGGCCGTGCAAGGCCGAGCCCAAGCCTAGGCACCCCAGCTGGGAGCTGGGGGTGCTCCACGATGGTGGCTCTCGCTCCTCCACCCTCCGCAGGGACCTGACTGGCCGCCCTCCCTGGGAGGAAGTGCAGGACTCGGGGGCAGAGGGGACAGGCAGCTCAGGGCGGCCCTTCTGCTCGCGGTGCTTAGAACTGGAAGTGGGTCGGCCTCATGGCCAGTCTGCTTGGTGCCGTGGGAGCCTGGTGGGTTTGCCCCGGCCCGAAGGCTTAGGGTTACCCTGCAGCTCTGCTTCTAGGGGTGGGAGCGGCGGACCAAGGGCCGGGAGCCTGGGCTCGGCCCTGCGTCCTCCTGCCCTGGGCCGCCGCCCGTCCTGCCCACGGCTGTGCTGAGGATTCGCGGAGGGAAGGCGATGCGGACCCACGGCTTATGCAGGTGGGGATGCCGCCGTCTCCTGAGGAAGCGCTCGCACCCCAGCGACCAACACAGCCCAGGGACCAGCACGGAGCCTGGGGAGGAGGGGGCAGGCGCCAGGTGACTGGCCGCTAGCTCACTCTGCTCTCAGCAGGCCGGAGTCACATTTCATTAAGGGGAAACAACTTCCCGTACTTCACGGCCGCCCAGATCTCAGCCCCTGGTGCAGCCTGCAAAGAAAATGATGCTTCTAGGTGGGGGGGGCTCCCCTGCAATCTGCATGGTAACCACTTAGCCGGGGTCGCACCCCCTGGCCTCTTCGTGGGTTTTGCTGCACTGCCCCCGGCCACGGCGACCAGTGGAGAGGTCACTCCTCACCTGCCAGGCCTCAGGATGGAGGTGCTGCCGCTTCCTGTAACTCAGGCCCTCTCTCCTCATGCTCGGGGGTTTGCAAGTGTGTTTTGGTTAAAAACACTTGGGGGGGGGCAGGCAAGTGATGTGGTGGTTAAGGCACTGGACTCCCACAGGGCCAACCGCTGTTCGAGTCCCAGACCCGTTGGCTTGAAAATCATGCTGAGTGTGCGCGTGTGTGTGCGCCCAGAATCCTGGAAAGAGGATGAAGGAGCAGGGGTTGCAGTGTGGCCGCCTCCCTGACGAGTGAGTTTTCACTTTCCGTCTGTCTGTCTCCGGTGAGCACGTATGTGGGCTTTATGGCAAAATAAACACAGAAACTCAAACCAGACCACACACTTCGCATTTGTCACCTTGGTGAGGTCCTCCTGTCACTGGGGAAACTCCCAGGTCAAACTTCCTGGGACTCTGCGACTTGCAAATGGTGGAGGATGGGGCTTGAAGGCAGGGCCTGTCGGACAGCCTGATCCCCTCGGGAACACTGCACCGAAGCCTGCCTCCTGCAGCCTTGACCTTACTCCCACCTCGCTCCCTGGCTGGACACGAACGGTCTCCCGGCTCCACCTCACAGGACAGGAGACCATGGCCTGAAGCTAGGGAGTGAATCTCCCAGGCCACGCAGCACTCAGGCCACATCCACTGGACCCTGAGCCTGCGCCACAGTCCGGGCTGGAGGCAGGCGAAGGGCAGAGGCAGGGGCTGGGCTCTGGGTGGCTCCACGTGACCAGGGGCAGAGGGACAGAGCCGGAGACCAGGCCTGCCTCTCCCACAGCCTGAATGTTTCTGAACATTCTGGACTTGTCCACAGTCCCCAGTCTGCAGATCCCCCACCCCATGCTGTTTCAGTGGGTGGGGCTGGGGGCTCGCGGTGACCAACTACCGGGGTGATAAACAAGTCTCTGGACAAGGAACCCCTGGAAATGCTGGGGCTGGTTCTGGCGGGTGTGAGAGCCGCGGTGTTAATGGTTTCTGTGTCGCTGCAGTTAGGCCTGCCTTAAAACCTCTTAAATATTAAGTTGGAAGTGGGCGGCCAGCTCAAAGGGGCTGGGGGAGGGTGCGAGGCCCCTGCGAGCCAGACAAGTCTGCCCGGGCCACGCCTGCATGTTTAGGGGGAGGGAGGAGGCTGCAGCGGTCCCTCAGAGAGGGGAGGCTGGGGAGGTAGAGGCCAGTGGGGCGCAGCGGGCCTGGGCACGGGTGCCCGCGCTGCAGCAGCTCGTCACGAGGGGAACGCCCCCGGTGCTGGGAAGGGGCAGACCTGGCGGAGCGGTGCCTTGCTGGAATGTGGCCCTGAAAACGCGGCTGTTCTCTGCCCAGGGGCCCAGGTGGGCAAGAGTAAGGCGGTCCAGGGCAGTGGGCCTCCATACTCACGCTGCACCCAGTTCCCGCTCACTGGGCTGAGGAAGTTGGGGTAGAGGCCGAAGGGCTTCTCGATCTTCCGCAGAACCTGGCGGATGTTCCTGACCTGCCAAGAGATGGACACCAGGCGGCCTTTACCTTCTCGAAGAAGCTGGCCGACTCCCGGCCCGCCCAGGACGAGGACGGATCCGGTGTACGGAGGAAGCCATTCCCACGGGGTGGCGGGGGACAGCTGTAGGCTCCCACCAAGGCAGAGGGGCGGCCTCACCCTTGTCCACGCCCAGGGTGCGGCAGGAGGTGGCCACGTGGGGCCTCCCCACTGACCATCCTGCTGAGGGCCCCGCCAGCCTCACCCTGGCTGCCAGCCCCCCTCTCCTCTGCATGCTGCTCTGGGGGGACATGGGCCCTAGGGGGGGTGTCGCACGAGCGACAGCTGCTCACTGGTAAAGCTGCCTTTTTACTGGGCCACAGATAGTTGAACCAGCAATGCCACTACTGAGGGGTACCCAGAGGACACAGGGTCGGCATGGGGAAGCGACGTCCACGTCCCGTGACCCCCGGGCGCTGTGCTGCCCACGATGGGAGCAGCCTCCGTGTCCGTCACCAGATGGCGTCCACCGGCTCAGTCTTGGACCCCGTCACCTGTGACAGCACACGGCGCCTGGAGGACGTCAGGGAGAGGCTGCGTGCCCCGGGTGGGGTCTGACAGTGAGCTCACAGAGCGGAGTGGCCGGCAGAGGCTGGGTGTGTGACAGGGATGGGAGGCAGAGCGCTACTGCAGAGCTCGGGCGCTGGGTGACGACATGTACTGTGTTCTCGAAAAGTCGAAGACTTTCCTAGGTGTGCTCGCTACATGTTCATTATAAGATAAAAAACGGGCGGGAGCAGGCAGGATGGAGGTTAAGGCAGCTGGATCCTGCATGGCCGAATGTACGGTTCAAGTCCCGGACCTGGTGGCTTGAAAGTCACTCCAGGTGCATGTGCATGTGTGCCCAAAATCCTGAGAGGAGATTAGAGAAGGGGCTGAAGTGTGGCCAACCCCCGGGGTGGCTTTTCATTACCCTCTCTGTCTCTCTGGCCAGTGCACGCACCCTACAGCAAACAGAAAAAAAGGTCTGACCCCTTGGGAGTCATTTCAGAGGAGAGTCTGGACCCCTGCTCTAACAGGCAGCTCAGGGCTTTAATAATGATCATCATGGGACCAGCAGTTAGCGTAATGGCTATGTCGCTGGACTCCCACGTAGTCAGCCGTGGTTCGTGTCCCGGACCCGGTGGCTTAAACTCACGCCAGGCGCGTGTGCGTGCGTGCCCAAGATCCCGAGAGGAGAATGGAGGAGAAGGGATTGAGGCATGGCCATCTCCCCTGGGGGGTGATTTTTCGCTTTCTGTTTCTCTCTCTCTGTCTGGCGAGCGCACGCGCCCTATTGCGAAAACTTCTCCAAAAAAAAGAATAAGAACGGAAGAGCCATCCTGGCAAGCAGCAGGCTGTTCACACTCCTGTCAGAACTGTAGCAACGGCCCGCTATGCACGCCCCCACCCTCTTAACCACCTAGAAGGTGTTATCTCGGTTCCACAGACAAGAAACCCGAAGGGCAGAGAGGCTCAGTGACTTGCCACTGGCCACCTGGCCCTTGACTGACAGCCAGGACGTGAGTCAGGCCTGTTGAGCACACCAACTGGACAGGCTCCCTGCCCTGCAGGTGGCGTCGCGGGTCCGGGTCGGGGCAGGGAGCCCACAGCAGCGTGGCAGGACTGCGTCTGAGACCTTTGCGACCGCGAGGCTGGCGAGTGGGATTCAGGGGCTTTATCCGGAGGTGTCTGCCCTCTGCCCTTCCATTAAACCCCGCCCGGGAAGGCTCCAGGCCGCGGGTCACATGCCCAGACTGATCTGCAAGGCGAGGCGCAGGGATGGCAGGCTTTCGGCCTGAGACTCTTTCCAGGGAATGGCACTTGGTTGGCCACTTCGGACTTCACGTCCACTGTGTTAACTGAGCCCACTCCGGGGGACAGGGCTGTGCCCGCGCCCGAGTTACTCTCCACTGCCCTGGTGGGGAGCGGTGAAGCGGGCTCAACTAGCTCCCCCAGAGTGCGTGGTGCTTCTAGAATTTGGGCCAATTTGTTGACTGCCAATAATGGCCTCCGTGGGAGTGGGAGGCGGGACTGGGAATGAAAATAGCCAGGGTATGTAAATGTACCCGGAGGGAGCGGGGAGAGGGAGCGGGGAGAGAGCGGAGGCGAGGCCAGGCAGCGGACTCCGGGGAGCTGCCTGCAGCCTGCTGGCCCGACCTGGTCTGGAAAGAGCCTGAAATGGCCTTCAACTCTGGCCTCACCACTCTGTAGCTGGATAACCCCGGCGAGCCATTTATTTAATTTATTCTGTACTTGCCAGAGGGAGGGGCAGAGGGAGAAGGCACCGGGCCGTGGGGCGCCACAACCCCTGCGCCTCCGTTTCTCCACCCTGTTGGGATCTGGGCACACACTCGCGACGGCCCACTGTGTCTTTCAAGCCACTGGAGTGGGGATTTGAACCCTGGCCATGTGAGGTCTGCTCCTTTCATTACCAGGCTGTAGGGCCAGCCTGGCGAGTTACGGGACCTAGGTCCTCCTCTTTAAGTCGGGTACCAGGACAACCCTCCTCGTGGGGGGGGATGAGAGCTGTGAGCGCCCGCGCAGTCTCTCGGCCCCTTCCATTCAGAGCAGGCGAGGGCTGGCCCACGGGGGATGGAAGCAGGAGACGACCAGAAGATAGACGCTACTAGCAAGTGCGGTTCAACTGGAGCCGGCGCGTCCAGGGAGGCGAGGTCCCCCTCGACTGGAGGAGGACATTCGCAAGGAAGGGCTGACAGGAGGATGGACGCTTTAGGCCGGCTGTGAGTTCCGTGGCCCCACACGCGGTGTCGGAAAGGACCGGTGTGTACTGACGTAGCTGCCAGGTGGGGGTGAGCCCAGAATCTGCTACGTCCCGGCTGTGCCATGTGATGCCTTGTGACGAGGAGCCCCCAGGGCGAGGTACGAGCCCACCGTCTCCCGGCTCCCTGCTAACCTAAGAGGCTGGCATTCCGGGGGAGAGACGTGGGGTGGAGGGCTCTGCAGGCAGCGGAGGCCGGCCTCTACCTCCTGGGCAGGCCTAGGGAGGCTGTCTGAGGATGGCGTGTGCTGTCCTTCCTGTGGCTCAGGGTCAGACCTACGGAACTTCCAGGTGGGGGGACTGCCCAGGGCTGCGGCACCTCTGGGGTACTGCCCGGGAAGCCCGTGTGGCCTTAGCAGCCTGGGGCAATAGGAAGGACAGCCATGGGCACCTGCAGGAGAGGGCTGCCCTGCCAGCCTGGGTGGCCCGAGCTAGACGGGCGACGGGAAGGGACGGCCGCGGTCTCGCATGGACAAGTGAAGTGTCCCTTCCGTGCTGACCCAACGGCCGATTCCTGCCAACATGAGGTGGTGCCCAGATTTCACACACGTGTGGGTGCCGCCGTGCAGGCCAGTGAGTACCTCCTCCCTGACAGAGACGGCTCGCCCTGCCCGCTGTGGGACCCGAGGGCTCCCCACACCCCCTTTCCCTGCCACCCGGTACAGTGAGGTCTCCCACGAGTCACTGCTGCCGTACCAGGGGCCCCGGAGGACCCACTGCCCTCTGTGCTCTCCCACACGGCCCTGGGAGGGAGCGGGGCGGACACTTGCCTTCTCTGCGAAGACCTGGTTGCCGGAGAGCTCGGTGAGGTGCAGGAACTCCAAATGCAGCGACCCGAACTCCGCCAGGACGCTGCTGCTGCCCGCTGTGGTCCAGCCCCAGCTCCCACTGGAAGTCAGGGCAGCCGCGTCACCGCCCGCTCGCAGCTCCCGGCCGCGAAGTGGGGTGCGGCTCACGCGGGCCCCAGTGCGCCTGCAGCTTCCACCACCAACCGCGCTAACCCCCCTCGGCCCGTTTTCTGATGACACTGTGAGTGTGAAGCGACGGCGGGTGGCCTTTGAACCCGGGCCTGTCTGACTTGCCAGGTGCTTTCTCCACCACTGAGCCCGCCAGACTTGGGGGTTCGAGACCCGCGTGGTGCTGGGGCTTGGGTGTGGGTGGGCGGGTGAGAAGCCCTCCCCTCTCCCGACACTGTGGGTGCTGCCCGAGGATGCCTGATGGCCTGGCCTGGATGTCACGGAGCCCCCAGGAGTGGAGCTGCTGGCCCTGGGGGCGCCCAGGGTTGGCACCGACAGCTGGGGCTCTGAGGGCAAAGGTGTCCTCACCTGTTACCCACACGCGTCTGGGAACACCTCAGAGAAAGTCGTGCCCTATTTCTGGCATGGCCTTTCAACACCCCCGCCCTGAGAGCCCTCAGGGCTCAATTCCCAGCTCCGGGTGCTCTGAGGAGGAAACGCAGAGGCAGGACCTCAGGTAGTCCCCCCATGTGCCCATTTTCCACGTGACAAAGGGCAGTGAGGTCGCCTCCCGAGGTCGCAGAGCCCATGGAGCCGCTGGGCCCCCACCTGGCCCTGACACTAAGGGTGACACCTGCCTCTCAGTCACCTAGTCATAAAGAAGGGTGTTATGGGACCAGCAGTTGGCGTAACGGCTATGTCGCTGGACTCCCATGTAGTCGACCGCTGTTCAAGTCCCGGACCCGGAGGCTTAAACTCACACCGGGTGCTGCGTGCGTGCCCAAGATCCTGAGAGGAGAATGGAGGAGAAGGGATTGCGGTGTGACCATTCCCGCTGGGGGGTGATTTCTCGCTTTCTGCCTCTCTGTTTCTGTCTCTGGCGAGCGCATGTGCCCTATAGCAAAAACCTCTCCAATCCCCCCCCAAAAAAAAAACAACAAAAAAAAAAGAGACAAAAGAAGGGCATCACCCTCACTTCACAACCTGCCTGGGACCTGGAGCCACCAGGTGCAGGGTCAGGGCCACAAGCTGGAGACCTCGGGCAATCCATTCTACCCCCCGTGCACCCCGGTTCCCTCATAGGCATCATGGTTCTTTCCTGTGGGACATTTAGGAAAACCAGGACACAGGTCTCAGCAGGGAGGCTGTGGGGGACAGGGAGTGGGGACAGGACAGAGTGGTTAGTATGGGACAGCCTGAGGGGGCTGGCTCCCAGGGGCCTCTGGGAGGTCCTCCGAGTCCTTGTTCCACACAGCTCTGGCTCCCCAGAAACTGGCTTCTCTCTTCCCTGTTTCCAGGGACAGGACTCAGGAAGAGGGTGTAAGGAGGTCACCGTGCCACCTGAGGGGACGGCAGGGCTGCGCTCCCGGGCTGCCCTCCTCTCTAAGCTCTGCTCTTGGGCCTGGATGTGGGCCTCGTTCCGGGAAGGAGGAAAGCCAGCTAGTGTGGGAGCAGACGGGAGACTCCGGTTTCAACCTCAACTGATGCAGAAACGGCCCCCCTGCACCCCGCCTCGACGCCCCGGGTATCTCTGACTTGGGGCAGGGGTAGGGGCCGAGCTGCTCCTGGAAGACAGCAGTGAGGCGGCTTCTGCTTACAGAGCCACGGGAGCAGGCAGGTGTCACCACGCCCGGGAAGCCCAGTGTGCTAACTCCAATATGCAAAGGGAACCTCTGCGAGCTGGCCGGGCGGGGGGAGTCCAGCTGGGGGCCACTGGGCCCTCGCGGTTCCCCGAGGGGGCTCCCACCCAAGGTGGCCTGCACGCACCCAGAGGGAAGGAGGGCGCTGCCCCGGGCCGTCTCCACTCCCAGGTCCGGCTACGCTTCTTCCAGCCGTGGTCTGTGAAAGCTGCACCACCCAGGAGGCTCTCCGGAATAACCCATGCTTCCCGCCCTCACAGGGAAGTTCAGGGGAAAAGCCACCGGCCGTGGGGCTGTCCTCAGTCCTCACTCCCTGCCTCCCCACCCCACCTGCTCACCCTCACAGGGCCTTCCTCTAGCGCCAATGCCTGCTGACAGGTGGCCCGCCCGCAGCTGGGGGCTCTCTGTCCAGCCTGGCCTCAAAGCCTGGTGCCCTAGGTGCCAGCGGGGCGAGGCTCCCCGGACCTGTCTCATCCCGGACATGACGGCACACAGGTCTCAGCACTGGCGTAGGGACGGGGCGCGTGGTCCTTTGTTCTCGTTCCACACCAGACAGATCTCGTGTTCCAAGTTCCTCCACGTGCCAGCAGCACCGGGCCGCACCTTACTTCACCTTTCCCTCCGCCCTCAGAGTGTGATTGGACAGTGTGATCTCTATGTCTCGGTGAAACTACTCAGGCTCAGAGAGTGGGAGCCACTTTTCCACGGTCACACAGCAAGGGGTAGCACTGGCAGAGCTTAACCCGAACTCAGACCCTAGGTCGTCTGACTGCCCAGTGCACCTGCTCTGGGCGGGACCCTAGAGACCAGGAGGCCCTCTGCTCCTCTCTGCGGCAATGGGCTAATGGGAAGCTCTGTCCCTGCCCCCAGTCTTTGAAGGACGTGTTCTCTCCCCTGGCAGGAGGGGCTGCTCCACGATACCCCCCACTGGCCGTAGCTTCTAAGTGTGCGTGCCCGTGTGCGTACAGTGTCACTGCTAACTTCAGAGCATTCTACTTTTTTTTGTTCTTGAGAGGTTTTGCTATAGGGCGCGTGCGCTCGCCAGAAAGACAGAGAGACAGAAAGTGAGAAATCACCCGCCGGGGGGATGGCCACGCCGCAATCCCTTCTCCTCCATTCTCCTCTTGGGATCTTGGGCACGCACGCACACGCGCCCGGCGTGAGTTTAAGCCACCGGGTCTGGGACTGGAACCGTGGTCAACTACATGGAGTCCAGGTGACATAGCCGTTATGCCAACTGCTGGTCCCTATGTCAAAAATTTTTTAAAAATAAAAGTAAATTTAAAAAAAACTCCAATGAGGCCAGCAGTTAGTGTAATGGCTACGTCGCTGGACTCCCACGTAGTCGACCGCGGTTCACATCCTGGACCCGGTGGCTTAAATCTCATTGTGGCCACGTGACCAGGCGTGAAGACTCGGTGCCGGTGTGGCAGGAGCATGTGTGTGAGGGCGAGCGCATGACTGAGCTCAGGGGCTGTGCGGGGGAAGGAGCGTGTGCACGAGGCTGTGGGAAGAGAAAGCAAAGGCGAGTGTCTGGGCTGCAGAGGGCCCTGGACTGGCCACCGTCACTCTTCTAGACAGCCCAGTGGTCTCCGCAAGTCACAGGTCACCGCGGGCCCTGCCCCTGACTCCCAGGCCTCCCCAGCAGGGAGGAAGAGCAGCTCACACTGACTGGGGCCAAGTTCTCGCCCTGCCTCTCAGAGCTGCATGCATGTCTGCCTGGGCGCAGGGCCCCTCTGGCCGGCACGTCTGCCTGGGCGCAGGGCCCCTCCTGCCTGCATGACTGCCTGGGTGCGGGGCTCCTCCCGCCCCACACCTCTGCCTGGGTGCGGGGCTCCTCCCGCCCACACCTCTGCCTGGGTGTGGGGCAGCTCCCACCAGACTCCCTCTCCAGAGAGCAAGCCCAGCGCATGCGCTGCGTGGTCTCTAATGCCTTCCCTGGTGGAAAACGGAGACATTTTTAGCAACAGAGGTGCTTACCCAGAGAAGGAGAGGGAGCTATGCCAACACGCATACAGCACAGGCTACCGTGTGCGCGGACATCACACGCATACAGCACAGGCTACCGCGGGCGCGGACACACACGCATACAGCACGGGCTACCGCGGGCGCGGACACACACGCATACAGCACAGGCTAATGCGTGCGCGCACAAAACACGAACACA